AGCAATGCTTGGCGCCATCTATTGTTATATCCTTTACAGCATACAAACAACTTCGAATATCGTTTTACAACGATAATTCGAACGAGAGATGTCGCCATTGCTTTTTTAGAAATTTAAATTGTTTATAGTGCTAATCTTTGCACTTAAGATTGAACATTAAAATATGTAGAAAAAGTGCGAAAAGATTGTCGCCGCTGTGGGAATCGAACCCACGTCTTCGGCATTCGCGGCCTGACGCTCTAGCCACTGAGCTAAACGGCTGATTACCACACCGACGAAAATCTTAACGCATTCTTCCACATTGTTTTCTTAGCATTTGAAGCAATGCTTGGCGCCATCTATTGTTATATCCTTTACAGCATACAAACAACTTCGAATATCGTTTTACAACGATAATTCGAACGAGAGATGTCGCCATTGCTTTTTTAGAAATTTAAATTGTTTATAGTGCTAATCTTTGCACTTAAGATTGAACATTAAAATATGTAGAAAAAGTGCGAAAAGATTGTCGCCGCTGTGGGAATCGAACCCACGTCTTCGGCATTCGCGGCCTGACGCTCTAGCCACTGAGCTAAACGGCTGATTACCACACCGACGAAAATCTTAACGCATTCTTCCACATTGTTTTCTTAGCATTTGAAGCAATGCTTGGCGCCATCTATTGTTATATCCTTTACAGCATACAAACAACTTCGAATATCGTTTTACAACGATAATTCGAACGAGAGATGTCGCCATTGCTTTTTTAGAAATTTAAATTGTTTATAGTGCTAATCTTTGCACTTAAGATTGAACATTAAAATATGTAGAAAAAGTGCGAAAAGATTGTCGCCGCTGTGGGAATCGAACCCACGTCTTCGGCATTCGCGGCCTGACGCTCTAGCCACTGAGCTAAACGGCTGATTACCACACCGACGAAAATCTTAACGCATTCTTCCACATTGTTTTCTTAGCATTTGAAGCAATGCTTGGCGCCATCTATTGTTATATCCTTTACAGCATACAAACAACTTCGAATATCGTTTTACAACGATAATTCGAACGAGAGATGTCGCCATTGCTTTTTTAGAAATTTAAATTGTTTATAGTGCTAATCTTTGCACTTAAGATTGAACATTAAAATATGTAGAAAAAGTGCGAAAAGATTGTCGCCGCTGTGGGAATCGAACCCACGTCTTCGGCATTCGCGGCCTGACGCTCTAGCCACTGAGCTAAACGGCTGATTACCACACCGACGAAAATCTTAACGCATTCTTCCACATTGTTTTCTTAGCATTTGAAGCAATGCTTGGCGCCATCTATTGTTATATCCTTTACAGCATACAAACAACTTCGAATATCGTTTTACAACGATAATTCGAACGAGAGATGTCGCCATTGCTTTTTTAGAAATTTAAATTGTTTATAGTGCTAATCTTTGCACTTAAGATTGAACATTAAAATATGTAGAAAAAGTGCGAAAAGATTGTCGCCGCTGTGGGAATCGAACCCACGTCTTCGGCATTCGCGGCCTGACGCTCTAGCCACTGAGCTAAACGGCTGATTACCACACCGACGAAAATCTTAACGCATTCTTCCACATTGTTTTCTTAGCATTTGAAGCAATGCTTGGCGCCATCTATTGTTATATCCTTTACAGCATACAAACAACTTCGAATATCGTTTTACAACGATAATTCGAACGAGAGATGTCGCCATTGCTTTTTTAGAAATTTAAATTGTTTATAGTGCTAATCTTTGCACTTAAGATTGAACATTAAAATATGTAGAAAAAGTGCGAAAAGATTGTCGCCGCTGTGGGAATCGAACCCAATTGTGACGCTCTAGCAAAGAGCTAAACGGCTGATTACCACACCGACGAAAATCTTAACGCATTCTTCCACATTGTTTTTCTTAGCATTTGAAGCAATGCTTGGCGCCATCTATTGTTATATCCTTACAGCATACAAACAAGTTCGAATTATCGTTGTAAAACGATAATTCGAACGAGAGATGTCGCCATTGCTTTTTTAGAAATTTAAATTGTTTATAGTGCTAATCTTTGCACTTAAGATTGAACATTAAAATATGTAGAAAAAAAGATTAAAATATGTAAGAAAACAATGTGGAAGAATGCGTTAAGATTTTCGTCGGTGTGGTAATCAGCCGTTTAGCTCAGTGGCTAGAGCGTCAGGCCGCGAATGCCGAAGACGTGGGTTCGATTCCCACAGCGGCGACAATCTTTTCGCACTTTTTCTACATATTTTAATGTTCAATCTTAAGTGCAAAGATTAGCACTATAAACAATTTAAATTTCTAAAAAAGCAATGGCGACATCTCTCGTTCGAATTATCGTTGTAAAACGATATTCGAAGTTGTTTGTATGCTGTAAAGGATATAACAATAGATGGCGCCAAGCATTGCTTCAAATGCTAAGAAAACAATGTGGAAGAATGCGTTAAGATTTTCGTCGGTGTGGTAATCAGCCGTTTAGCTCAGTGGCTAGAGCGTCAGGCCGCGAATGCCGAAGACGTGGGTTCGATTCCCACAGCGGCGACAATCTTTTCGCACTTTTTCTACATATTTTAATGTTCAATCTTAAGTGCAAAGATTAGCACTATAAACAATTTAAATTTCTAAAAAAGCAATGGCGACATCTCTCGTTCGAATTATCGTTGTAAAACGATATTCGAAGTTGTTTGTATGCTGTAAAGGATATAACAATAGATGGCGCCAAGCATTGCTTCAAATGCTAAGAAAACAATGTGGAAGAATGCGTTAAGATTTTCGTCGGTGTGGTAATCAGCCGTTTAGCTCAGTGGCTAGAGCGTCAGGCCGCGAATGCCGAAGACGTGGGTTCGATTCCCACAGCGGCGACAATCTTTTCGCACTTTTTCTACATATTTTAATGTTCAATCTTAAGTGCAAAGATTAGCACTATAAACAATTTAAATTTCTAAAAAAGCAATGGCGACATCTCTCGTTCGAATTATCGTTGTAAAACGATATTCGAAGTTGTTTGTATGCTGTAAAGGATATAACAATAGATGGCGCCAAGCATTGCTTCAAATGCTAAGAAAACAATGTGGAAGAATGCGTTAAGATTTTCGTCGGTGTGGTAATCAGCCGTTTAGCTCAGTGGCTAGAGCGTCAGGCCGCGAATGCCGAAGACGTGGGTTCGATTCCCACAGCGGCGACAATCTTTTCGCACTTTTTCTACATATTTTAATGTTCAATCTTAAGTGCAAAGATTAGCACTATAAACAATTTAAATTTCTAAAAAAGCAATGGCGACATCTCTCGTTCGAATTATCGTTGTAAAACGATATTCGAAGTTGTTTGTATGCTGTAAAGGATATAACAATAGATGGCGCCAAGCATTGCTTCAAATGCTAAGAAAACAATGTGGAAGAATGCGTTAAGATTTTCGTCGGTGTGGTAATCAGCCGTTTAGCTCAGTGGCTAGAGCGTCAGGCCGCGAATGCCGAAGACGTGGGTTCGATTCCCACAGCGGCGACAATCTTTTCGCACTTTTTCTACATATTTTAATGTTCAATCTTAAGTGCAAAGATTAGCACTATAAACAATTTAAATTTCTAAAAAAGCAATGGCGACATCTCTCGTTCGAATTATCGTTGTAAAACGATATTCGAAGTTGTTTGTATGCTGTAAAGGATATAACAATAGATGGCGCCAAGCATTGCTTCAAATGCTAAGAAAACAATGTGGAAGAATGCGTTAAGATTTTCGTCGGTGTGGTAATCAGCCGTTTAGCTCAGTGGCTAGAGCGTCAGGCCGCGAATGCCGAAGACGTGGGTTCGATTCCCACAGCGGCGACAATCTTTTCGCACTTTTTCTACATATTTTAATGTTCAATCTTAAGTGCAAAGATTAGCACTATAAACAATTTAAATTTCTAAAAAAGCAATGGCGACATCTCTCGTTCGAATTATCGTTGTAAAACGATATTCGAAGTTGTTTGTATGCTGTAAAGGATATAACAATAGATGGCGCCAAGCATTGCTTCAAATGCTAAGAAAACAATGTGGAAGAATGCGTTAAGATTTTCGTCGGTGTGGTAATCAGCCGTTTAGCTCAGTGGCTAGAGCGTCAGGCCGCGAATGCCGAAGACGTGGGTTCGATTCCCACAGCGGCGACAATCTTTTCGCACTTTTTCTACATATTTTAATGTTCAATCTTAAGTGCAAAGATTAGCACTATAAACAATTTAAATTTCTAAAAAAGCAATGGCGACATCTCTCGTTCGAATTATCGTTGTAAAACGATATTCGAAGTTGTTTGTATGCTGTAAAGGATATAACAATAGATGGCGCCAAGCATTGCTTCAAATGCTAAGAAAACAATGTGGAAGAATGCGTTAAGATTTTCGTCGGTGTGGTAATCAGCCGTTTAGCTCAGTGGCTAGAGCGTCAGGCCGCGAATGCCGAAGACGTGGGTTCGATTCCCACAGCGGCGACAATCTTTTCGCACTTTTTCTACATATTTTAATGTTCAATCTTAAGTGCAAAGATTAGCACTATAAACAATTTAAATTTCTAGTGATTATAAAGATAAGATTGAAAATGTGTTAAACTTCGACTTTTGCACTTTTTGCACATCGCTCAAATACCAGTGCTTCTTACAATTACATTTCAGGCAAACAAGTTGTTTCCTCATTAAGATAAAATAAGTACGCAAAAAGTATTTATTTGTATGACATACAGATAATTAGGGTGTGGTGGTGAGTGTTTTATCCCATTGACATCGGGCGGCCGCCAGGTCCTTAAGAACTTAGCAAATACCTTTAAAAAATTGAGTTACATATTTTGCCGACCTTACCTAAGATCCCACCTAGATCCCTCAGGCCCAAGAGGAGAAAAAAATCAGAGAAATGGAAATCTCATTGTTCACCTTAAACGTCATGAAGTTGGCAACTCTGTATTAAAAATATGTGAAGATTTTAACTTATATCCCGATATTAAAACTAAAAGTGTGCTCACTGCCAGGGGTCACTCTGCTCTATGCCGTTTGCACTCGCAGAGTTGGCGAGTCCGCTCGTCGGCGACATCACAACACCGTACGGAGTTTATCACCAGGGGAGCGTTCCTAATGCGGCCCTTCCGGCGCGCCGCTCGGTGGCCACACGTCGCCGTCGCGCCGGACCCGCGCCGCGCCCGCAGACAGCCCTAGCAGCCGGCATCGGCATCGCCTATCAAATATATTACGGTCGCCCTGATAACGGTACGCACACTGTTACACATAAAAGTTTTATGAGTCTACACGTCGATAAGTTTTCCATCCGTTTGAGGGAACTTTAATGTTCAAAACGAAACATTTCTCATTCTATAGATACCCTACCTATCTTTACCTATCTTTCCCTATGAATTGTGCATGCAAACTTTACTGTACGCCTATAGGATTACAAATATAGGCACATATTTGTATGAAATAAGTGGATAATTTATCTTAGTGTCGTTCGACAAGGAGACGATTAATAAATTTAAGTACGGCGCTATATACTGCGGAGTCGATTCTCTAATAGTTCGATCAGAAAGTGAGATTCAGAAACTTTACGTTACATGGTTAAATCACGCCCTCAGATGTGAAATCGAATGTTTGGATGTCATAAGGATAATCCTCATTCCTCAAGGTAATATAAAAATTGACTTCATCGGAGGATACGGAACGGAAATTATATCAAGTTCTAAATTCGTATTGTAACGCTCATTATACCTTAATTCGTTTCATTTCCAATCTCGCTTACCGTAACGAGCGGGTTATATTATAATTTCCTCCGTACTAAATTATTATTGGCCCGAACGGAACTGTTATTTATTAGCGATTTATTGGTTTGCCCTTATCTGTGGCTTTGTTTATTTGTGCGGTTGGGGCTTGGCACGCGTTGGGTCACGTTTCCTCCAAACGACAGGATTATTTTGTGAGCCGGAGCCTTCCGCGGCCCAAATTAGATTTCGCGCCAGCCGCAAAACGTGCGCCGACACGGCAAAAACACAAACAGCGAAAAATTACACTATTTTTCAACAATTATTTCGTAGCAAGAAAAATTGGACAAGGTAAACGGTTTTTTGTGTTGTTAAAGCTAATATGAAAAGCGCAAACTGAATAAAAACTCAAGTGCTGTTTCAGTTGATAGTCATCCGTAATTCGTATTAAGTTCTTTCAATTTAAATGTTATATATTGAAATGATTAATTTGAGGGTTTAAACAGGTTCTTTTTGGATTTTGTGTGGAAAGGATCAAATAGAAGATCTAATGTAGTCTTCCTTTAATCCCTAATTGCCCTACTGTAGGATAACAATATCCTGTGTTGTAAGGACATTTTTCATACATAAATTTCATGTGGACAAACACCCGAATCCGAAACAATTATCTGTCAGTCACACAACAGTTGTCCCGTGTGGTAATCAAACCTTTTATGTAATATGCAATTATTTAACGGAACGTGACTGCATTTGATGTGTATTTTGTAGCGTAAATTTATAATCCAGTTAAAATAATTCGACGAGACGCAACATAGTCGTCTCCAGTGGCGCGTCGGGGCGTTTAGGGTCGGGACCTGGCGTGACTTATCGTCAGCGGTTTTTCAGTTACTCTCGTCCTGATCGCGGAGACAATAGAGATGTGTATCACAGCACCCGCTAAGACTGTCTTGAGTCACGATTATACAATGAATACAAAATATTACCGCTGGAATTTTCCTATGGGAGGGCGTTTAGATCTTAGAGAGATTAAATCTGCTCAGTCCCATCACACCTCGTGTAATGTCCTTGAAATGTTTATTCTTGATGCTTTTCTATAAATCAGCTCTTGAAATTACATAGTGACTGCTTAGAGGCTAGGATTTACGAAAAGCAATGGTCCTGCGTTCTGGACGGTTCCTTCCGTTTTTCGTTTCTAACATGAGCACAATCACTGATGGCGAAATAATATCGATATATCGATATTATTGATTTTAAATATCGATATTTTTAGCCGAAATATCGATATGAAATATTTAATATCGAAATCGTATCAAACACGATATTTTTTCAAATTCGAATCCAGCACAGAGTTTGTAGAAGTCAAATATTTAACATACCTTTTTTTTGGACAACGGGTCAGACCCGAACAGAAATTATCGATATATCGATATTTTCTCTTCGATATATTGAGACCGATATTGACATTTTTATAAATATCGATATATTTCTTCAGGTTCGGCATCCCTATATCTCACACTGGTGCGACAAAGCTAGTAATACAGTTCCGAAGAGATGTGACATCCGGAACTGTATTAACCACCCGGCAGGATTGATTGGAGAAGTATTTTTATTTATTATGGTTTACTCTGTTATAAACACAACCATGTTGAAAAAGTTTCAAGAAATAATGTTAATTTTAAAGCTCGCATTTTTCGTGTGTACTTTACTCACAAAAAGGCGCCGAGGCGCCCCTCGCGTTCATGTTGGAGCGACTCGCCCGATTCAGTACTCGCATACCCTGAATGTGTGGGAAAGTAATTGGTGTTTGCACAACACGCGACTCACAGCCTGAGCGCTGTGCACACACGAACTCTTCCAATTCCTGACCATGGCAACAACAAATCGAACCGAATAGCGCGTTCTTTCACCCCTTACAGCTGATGCTTTCCGACTTATAAAAAAAAACATTTGGTAGATACACTATACCGTCATACAAAAAAGCATAACATTAATTATTTAATCATCGTGCATTGTACAAAAAAGTGAAAGCATCGAGAAAAGCAGGTAGGCCCCTCCCTATTTAATACTTCTACTTTACACTGGTCGTACATATGTAAGGTATTTGTTATTTCCCCGGAAAAACCTGACAATTCGATTAACAGCAGAAGCTTTAACTCGGTCGTATAATAGCGAACTTTTAGAATAAGCAAAATAACACAATGCTAGCAATGAATGAGATGAACTGCTGAAAGAAGTCGTTCGATGCAGATATGTACGTAAATTCCGAAGTCGAGTCGCCGTCCGCCAATCGCTTTTAGCGCGCGTCCTTTAACGACGCTATACTAAGGAGTCGGCCGGCGCGCCCTCTGCGAAGGAACCACGCGCGCCGAGCAAACACCGAAAGTTGGCTGGAGACACTAATGCATCGCCACACATGTACCTACGTGTGTACAGATATACCTAACATGAACACGTTCAAAACGCTCTACAGTGTTGACAGTTCGCGAGACAGCATTTTAGCACCGGCTGTTTGTGCACCAATTTACATTTATTCTTCAAATTGAATTCTCTCGATTCAAGATTATATACAATTTGGCGGATTTTGAGGTCGTCACCTAACCGGGTTAGAGATAATTTGAAGTAGCCATTCAAAGACCTAAAGGAGTATATGCAGGAAAAGTTCCCACCCTCTGACATGATCTCGCAGTATGAGTGACGGTAATACCATATGTCAAGGAGATAATTCATCTTCATACTTCATTATGTCCGTAAACTATAGTGCAATTTGCGAAGAAGCCTTCTGAACTGTTTATTGTAAACTTTAATAGAATCCAGCAGTCGGGAGTCGTAGGAATTGATAATCCGCTTAATTTTGACATGTCGCAGTACAAGGGAAGAAAGGCGCGCGGCCGCCGCCTCCACGGCTCCATCACTGCACGGGTAAACGACTCGTCTAAAGCAAAACAAACATTTCTCTATTTGAGACAATTGTGTTTTCTATTGCCGGAGCAGTGACTGCAATACAACCAAAAGACTCATAACAGAATAAGGTCAAAGCCACTGTTATTAGACATTAATATAATACATATTATCATAAATGTTAAGAGCAATTCTACCCTTGATCCATATCGAATTACGTATACTTGTATCACGCTGTGCAGTACGACGTTAAAAATAAACATATTAAGAGATAATATCCTACAAACGAATTAAATAAAATGTATACGCTTTATGGTAATAAAAAAACACAAAAACTAACTTCTAAAGGTCTCCTTGTTAATTAAAATTTTGAATGTCAAAATCGTTTGCGGAATTATAATGTTTAAGAATTATTACTATGATCTTAGCATCTTTTGAGGTCGCAGAAGCAGTTGCATTTTACTGCGTTATTAAAAGCCAATACGAGGCCAGATATGAAAGGGAATAAATAAAAATGGTCGGTATCTCGTGCAGCAGACAGGAACCGGTGACCACGTCTCGTGTGAATTCCGCTCCGTCGGTCTCGCTTTATGAGAGCGTACCGACGCCATGTAATGCAACGCAATATGCGACCGTCGCCCACTTGCCCACTCCGGGCGCAATCCGGCCGCTCTAGCGATCTCAATTCAATCGGTAATATTGACTTGACAAGTCTTCAACAATACGCATCTAGCTGCTCACGAAACACATTAATTCTCCTTCTAATTCAGAAAAATAATATGGCGATTGACATTTCATATTAAGCTTTTATTTATTTCTAAAACATGTAGTGTTTAAATTTTATGAAATACGTATGTGAGGTTCCTATTTGAATGTAAATGGAATAAACAGGCGCTTACGACTTGCGCCAGGGATGCATAGCAACGATTCTTGTCTATGTGATGTATGTATTACATATAGTATCAATATGTATTTATGCATATGTGTTTATGTATATGTATGTATGTATGAGGGCTGCCACTGCGCCCGAATGGCCCCGCACGCTCACTGATCTTATCGCGTTCATGTTTCACTGGAACTGTTATGGAAGAGTCCACGGAAACGAGATCGCACGGACACGCGGGCCTCGAGTGACGTGCGCTTTTACTGGACGGAGCGAACAAATCATCGAGTCCAACCACTCGATTGTTCGGTTGAGATAACTTAACGACATTAGAAGAACTTTTGTATGAGACTTCATACGATTAGTGAAAATGATTTACATATATACAAATACAAAGAAGCTAGAGCAGATATACATCAAAGCTAGATAAACAGCGACAAAAATCCGTAATTCAGTTTTTTAACATATAAATAAAATTATCTTTATAAATGAATCACTATTTAACTGAGTTGCTGCGACCAAGACACATGCCTTAGATCTAAATAAGAAACAGAACCCGTTCATGAGAAAGGCGCGCATTCGCCATTGTGGATGTGGCAGGTGGTAAGACTTCGCGCATCGATCACGCAAATGAATGCAGAGCGTCTTCTTTTATTCTTTGCCCCTCTGATAGAATGCGGCACAATTTAAATGTTGAGACCGGTGGACCGGTACAGCGAAGTGATTTGTATAACACGTTCTCTTCAAACTTTCGTGTGTTGAATAGAGAACCTTGTGATCGTCGAGAGGGCCATTATTCCGCGCGCATCCGCAGAGGCGGCCGCTGGCCGGTGTGCGAACGGGGCCCCGCCTTTGGTCCAGCTCCAAAACATTATTCACATTAGTGTGTGAATGGCGAACGAGAAGGTATCAGACTCACAAATCCGACCCCATTCGCCGTTTTATAGTCCGTTGCATTATGTATGCGCCAGTCCGTCACGGAGATCCAGGTCAAACATAATGCGCATAAACCCCGCGTCCAAATCAATTACACGAGTCCCAAAAGCACGGCGCTTAGCCCCGGCTCTGCCCGTGTCCATCTTGACTGCGTCGTGGCCCTGCTCTCTTATGATAACGTCCCCCTTATGAAACCAGACAGTCCGGTACACGGAACACTGATTGCGGTAATCAAATTGTATCTATTTAAATTCAATAAAAGATATAAGTCTACGCCTATAGAACTAATACTATTGAACATATTACCAGTTTACTGAAAGTACTTATGAAAATGACATTAAAGCAAATTATTTCTCTCACTGTAAACAACTAGTGCGGTTCAAATGGATCGGTTCGACCGTTCAAGGATAAAGTTGCGGCACCACGAAACCACCGGAACAAATTGCTGCGGAATTAAGCGTCCATCATAGTTCCCACATAGCTATTTACTGCTTCGTTCTTAATGTTGAACTGACCACTACTTTGCTATCTTAAATTACTGAAACAACGGCTGTTAAACGTAACCCTTGTACGTGATAATACCAATTAGAAACCACCTAAGTTAGAGTTTTTCTTTTATGCGAAAATTTGGCAATAGAGCAGGTAACTCCTGATGTTAGGTGATACATTCCGCCCATGCTTTAGAAACAATGGGCTCCGGTTTCGAAACAGTTAATGAGTGAAACGTTAACGCAAAAGCATAATATTCCTTCTGCACGCTGGTCCTCTGTAATGCTGTGATACTTTCCCACACCAACCTGGCCGTATATGCAACAGCTGAAACTGTTACATGGCCCTACCATAGATGCACTGTACAGTATATTCCGTGTCCCATACAAGCACTGTCGAGAATCCATGGTATTGTTCGTTTTGATAAAAGGATTCAGTCAATAGCACTATCTGGAAGGACGCATAGCAAATGTGGCATCGAAGGCAGCTCATAGTACAGAGGAAGGCACCAATCTGCGCACTGCCTCACGATGCGCGGCGACATTAGTGCGCGTCAGCAAAAACGGCCCATCGTGTCGGTGCAACTCTCGCGCGGCGAATCGGCCCAACGGCGACGCAGCGCTGATGTGGCAAAAAGCCCGGCACCCTTCCTTGGCGCGTAATGAAGCAATTTCTTCGGAGAGATCGCGAGGCGGCGACTTCATTCCGCCAGCCGCTGTAACGAGCGGGCGTGCGACGTGCGGGGGCGAGCGAATTAAAGCGTTGTCACGTAGTGGCGATTTACAGCCGACGCTGCCGTGACGCCACATTAATGACGTGACAGCGTGCAGTATAAATGGCTTCACGTTGCACTTTCCGCACTCTGCTCGTGTATTTTAAATCGACCGAAATTAAACACAGATTCAGCTTAAATGTATACCGTACATAAATGGGCTTCCATTTTCCGAAGGTTTACTTGTCATGTTGCATAATTATTTTGCCTTAATAATATCTATATAATACCGGCTTAATTCCTATATACGTAAGATGTTATCTATGCTGTTTCATTTTCAGACGTAAGCAAGTGTATAGATTATTCATTTTAGTTTGTTTAGTATTTTTGTAAAAAAAATTGTTAATTCGATAACACATACTGAGATATTAGCCAGAATAAAGATAAACACAAATTATCGAAGTCGGAATGCTAAACTATTTCATATACCATATAGCACAATGGAGTTTGCGCAAAATAACCCAATTTACAGAATGTGTTCCATCTACAATAAATTTGCTAGCAGCAATCATTCCATTGATATTTTTTACCAAAAACTGAGTGCATTCAAACAAATTGTCACATGCCCATAATGTGTTTTGTTTTTTTTCCCTCTCTTATTTTTATAGTCTTTTTTATTTTGTTTTTAGCAGCTTTTGTTTATAATTTTTTTTTATCTAGTGTAAATTAAGTTAAAACTTTTGCCATGATATCGTAGCATGTTGTGTACGCATAGTTTTGGCTGACAGTATGTAATTGTTTACCTTATTGAACTTTATTGTAATGTGTATATTACTGTTTGCTGTTTTGTGTACCAAATAAAATAAAATAAAATAAAAAATAAAATAAATTAATTTATTCGATGGTAGGGCCACGCAGCAGCCTCGACTGTTGCACGAATGGGCAGGCCCGTCCGGGTAAGTAGCATGACCTCACAGAAGACCAGCGTAAAGTGGAAGAATGACAAATACTTTCGCGTTTCGTCTGGTGAGTGAGGTAGCCGGAGCCCAATTTTCAAAAGATTGTCAACGCTACTGTAACCCTCGGGTGTAGCAAATGTCCATGGGCGGCGGTATTCACTCAACATCAGGTGAACCGTCTGCTCGTTTGACAACTTTTCGCATAAAAAAAATAATAATTGACACAAAAATCCAAATTTAATAAAAATACTGACTTCTCTGTTTATTTTTCGCGGGCATTATTTTAATTATAAACTCTTCGTCACTCACACAACCCCAAAAAATTAGACATATATGTACAAGTATATACAGGAAAACCGCTCTAAAAACATGACTCTAGTCAAACTTTGGTAGACGTGGAAAAAGAAAAAATTGATAATGACTTCATTATTTTTTATACCAAACTTAAAATCCAATTGAGATCATGAAGTACCACGAATGACCCAAAACCAAAGTCGCGAAATTTGATATGAAACGAAACAAGCTGGACCCGTCCACCCCCCCCGAGAGTTCGCCACAGAGCGGCCGAGAAGAGCGCTCGATCAGAACGACCTCATTAATCATTTCGATATTTTTCTTGTGCCACTTTTTTGTGTTGAATCGACTCTGTTCGCGACGCTGCATCCGGAATGATACCTACGTAAACAAATGTCGAACGAATACAATACAACCTAAACATGGTAATGTAGCAACGTCCGATATTTAAACGTCTTTGTTTGTGTGGCTCCGGGTATGTATCAATATTTAAGCAGCAGTTTCCTTTTTGTTTTGAGCACAGTTGTCGCATGCGCGCCCATTCGGGTTATGTTTATATAGTTTGGCCGGTCGGACGGCGCCGGGGACACTCGCAGCCCCAACGCACCACCCACACAATTACACGCCGTGATGGATTGAGCCCATTAAAGACGAGAAACAATATTAAATTCCACTGGGATAGCTCGCCAGTTAAGGTGCCAGCTTTACTATCGGCGGAACGACACCTATCTACGGCGTGTTTACGTCATTTCTTACTGCCTCTAGTGTACGACAGCAGCCTTAAGGCAGCCGTGAAAAGCCAAAAGTAATAGTTATCTCTTTTTATTACATAGGAGATTAAAACGAGAGAACTCATCGACTCCTGGGTGTTTTTTTTAAAGTTTGTGTGATGGAAATCGATTGATGTTATCAAGAATTGTTGACCCACATGCAAATTGAAGAGTTTGATGCTTCTTTCATGACCCAATCAGATTTTGATCAAATCTGTATAGAACCATCGAAACAGGTGGACTAAATAGGAATGAAGGTCTCTATCAAAGCGAGAATCACTGAAATCTTACATCGCGGTATATCTGGACATTCATTAAAAATATACCGGTCTCCTAAGATAACCTCATATTTTAACCAAATCGCGAGTCGATGCGACTCGGACTCCAGCACGAAGGGTTCCGTGCCATAATCTATTTAAAGGGCAAAAAATCATGCCTGTTGTATGGGAGCCCCGCTTAAATATTTTTTTATTCTGTTTTTTAGTATTTGTTGTTATGGCGGCAACAGAAATACATCATCTGTGAAAATTTCAAAAGCCTAATTATCACGGTTCTTGAGCTTGGTGAAAGACGGAGAGACCGACAGACAGGCAGCGGAGTCTTAGTAATAGGATCTCGTTTTACCCTTTGGGTGCGGAACACTAAAAATGTAGCATCCATAATTAGGACGTGACGCTCTCTTGCATGCGGCGGTAGATCGGGAGCCGCGTGGTGCCCACCCCACCTCACCCCACCCCACCCCACCCCACGCCGTCACGTCACGTCACGTTGCCCAAAAGCGCGCCTAACGAGCGCACTGCGAACGACGCACGCGGCCCTCTAATGGTGTTCTAAGGATGACCCACCGATCATCGACACGTGGCCCTGTGTTCTGTTCCACATACTTATAGTTTTACAACATACCTGTTATGGTCGTGAATTTAACCCATTAAAAAAAGGTCAAATGAAGTTTATGCGTCTTTTCCCAAAAGAAATTATTTACTAAATTAGTATAGTAGTTCTAGTATTCTTGGATTGTTTTGTTTTTATGCTTTATTAGTAGAGATAATTTTTGAGAGACAGTCTATGGCTCTACTACTCGTGCCGCATCCACACTACCCCTCGACAGGGGAGGGTGAGAGGGAGAGAGAGAGAGACAGTAGGAAATTAGGAGGAGGGCTAAACCGTGCAGAGGACAGGTACGCTTTATGTTTGGTTCGCACTGAAACCCCTAAAATGAGTTCCGGGTTCGTAAGAACATAAAGCACGCCTTCCTTCTCGACCCCTTCTCTAAAACGTACTTCCACGAGTCCCCAGAAGAGCCAGTGTTAGCACTGAAGAAAGTCTCCCGACAAGCCCGACAAGCACGCCAAGCGATTTAAAGTTGTATTCAAAGATCAGACGGTGAGGTTCCCTTCGGCATGGGGTCACCAAGTGACCGGCTACTGACCTCGCAAATTTTTGAAAAGTTTCCAACTAAAATGCGGCACATACGCAATAACTATGTAAGCACAGTTACTACAACGTCAAAAATGGGCCAGTTTGATACCGAATCATGGTTGGAAACTCGTCATAACCATATGCGTCCGGAAAGGAAATGGTCTATAATATTGAAATATTGCAATATTTATAGCCACTCAACATAATATATGGTGCTGTTCATTTAGTTATATACATATTTGATACGAAACTATGCTAAATACGGTTGGCATTCGCAATAGAAAGTACAAGTGTAAAGTTATAAATTTGCTTTAAAATGTATCAAATATGTTAGTAATTTTTTTAATAAATAACTCGTTATAAGTAACTCGTTATTAAAAATTTTCTTTCTCCGTTATGTTTGTTCATTGTCGTGTACAAATTTTAATAAGCTTATGCTTATCATTTTTAGAAATTAATTAAATGCCATCAGTCGTAAATTAAAAAGTTGATCGTTTTTGTAATAAAACCATTGCTTTGTTCCGCAATTATTGGAAAATAATTTAAAGGTGATATTAGCATGAGCCCACAAATAGCAGGGAAATTCTAAAAAATATTCCCGGTTTTCCTAAAGTCGAAGTATAATGGTTATTTTGCCGCCGCAACCGCTCTTCAAAAGCCACAATTTGTACCTTCGATCCATCAAGTATCTCCTTGATGCTTAAACAAACATTCTACAGCCAAATAAAGTCGAGTGTCTCCAACTAGGACGTCATGCTTCTAGTGTAGGCATCATATACATTTACAGTTCGTTGTATAGAAAATTTTGTTTAAATCTTTATGTTACCACGCGATAAATCACGTTTATTTTCAAACATTGAGCAGACACCACAGCAACCATGGCATTGGCTCTTTCGTTATGAACTATGTCATGTTCTGCGGCCGAAGCTTGAGCCGCGGAGACGATGATTGAGTGTTGCCATAAACCTTCTTATGTTCCCCGTGAGTGCGTTATGTTTTATGAGCGTTACGTTAAGCAATAAAACAATGACCTCACTCACACTGCACATTGTGTTCGCGATCACAATGTCTTTTATTGCAACAATTGGAATTAAATTCAATGCTTCCAGCAACAAGCGCCTTGTAATGATCGAACAATACCCGCTACGTGTAAGCAAATGCTTTTTACCGCCTATCGTCGTATACTGCGTTTGCAATGTTGCAAAATGGGCCTCCATTATCGGATTAATCATTGAATGGCGATGGAGGCAGACCAATCGATCAGTCCGGCGGGTGACGTCCGACGTCGCTTTTTTCTGTGCAGCGCTGAGCTGCCGCGCTGTGGGCGCCCCTATGAGTCGATGCAATCGCGAAGAGACGACTCTCATCGTCATACATTGACTATATTTGCGCTCAAATAGAAACAAGGAAAAAACTTTACAGCAATTGTGTTTCTAATAGCCAAAAAGGACTATGAAGCCGTTTAAGGAATTTTTAATTGAATTTTAACATTATTACCTTATCTTATAAAACCAGGCACCACACATTGATAAAATATTTGTGTATCACAACTTAATTCGATAGGTTAACAATTGAAAAATTCTTTAGGCTAATACAGGTTCATAGAGCCAAAGGTTATTTACTACACAAACGAGCTAAATAAACCTTCAGAGTGTTTATATGCAAAGTTATTTGTTTAGAACTGGTGTGTACATACAGCACGTACATAGCGTGCTCCGGCGGGCGATCACATATAACGGCTGGTTGAGTTTTCCTATTTAACTTCCAAGTTTGTTTATAGCTCGGCGCGAACAATGGGTTCCTTGAAAAAGGCCGGGTAACACGATTGCGTTGATTTTTTAAAATAACGAGTCAATACTATTGTCAGGCCCGTCCAATGTTTCGTTTGCGCCCACATCGACAGTTGCACACCGTCCCCAAGAGCACGAGGTATGCGATCGATTCCAAACAATCACACCTAACAGTTGCACTTGAATGCCTCGAAACGGCTCGCAGCATTGCACGTATAACAGCTGGCATTGCCGCGCTGGTATACAGACCGCATACATGTAACGCTGGCTGCGAGTGATTTCGCTAATAAAATACAATTAGAATAAAACATTAAAATTATAATGTTGAACGATTCATTCGTTGATACCGAGGCAAATAAATAACATAAAGTAAGACGAACGGAATAACGAAAATGTCTTAAAAGTCTCTGATGATATTACATCTATCTATACTTATAACGTACTTTCTCCCGACTGATTTTATCGAACTCTAGTCAAAACCATTAAGCCAAAAAATTTTAAATTAGGAACATAGGTTTAAGACATAAAGTAAGTATCTTATATATTAAAACTGCTGTAGGGCCACGCAACAGTCTTCTCTGTTGCACGAATGGGCAGGTACGAGTCAGTACCACGGCCTCACAGAAGACCGGCGTGAGGTGTCAATGTTACACTTGTGCGTTTCGTCTCATTAGTGATTTTATTAAAAGATGGCAACAATCTGCAACCCTTCGGGTGTTTTGAAAGTTGCAAATGTCCATTGGGGACGGTTATCAGTTAATAGCAGGTTCCCGCCAGATCATTCACATAAAAAAATCTCGGAAAATTAACCGACTCTTGAATTATTCAAGATTATTCTCGGTTTTGATTAATCAAAACTAATAAATGTTTAATTTTAATTTAAATTGCGACATTGTATTCTTTAAACATGTACCTTCAGCCAGAGTCCAGTTTGGAAATGCGGTGGTTTGATCGAATTGATCTTCACCTTAAAACAGCTATAGAGAAAATAATCTAAATTTATCTCATAATTAACTAACTCTACTCTAGCTACGTTACCAATTTGTTTTGGCGGTATTAGTAAGGAAAGTGTCTAGTGTCGTTGTACCTGCTTTCCTTGCTTCCGTGCATAGAGTAAATTATTTATGTAACAATATTTTTTTAAACACTGCCCTCAATTGAGGATAATATTATCCTGTGTTGTAAGGACGTTTTACAAACATAAATTCCACATGGACAAACACCCAGATTCGAAACAACTATCTGTGGGTCGCACAAATACTTGTACCGTGTGGGAATTGAACCCACGAACCCCGACGCAGTAGCCAATACCTTGGCCATTGCGCCACGAAATCATCGTTCTATCGTCTATTCTAAATTTCGCACCTTTCCTATGCCGAAGAGGCCCCTTGCCTGCATGGCTTGGCTATTTTTCAGCTGCAATGAAAATTTTCTACTCTTGTTTTTTAACATACCTATTTTAAAATTGAATATTACCAAAACATTGCTGAATAGCACATAAATTATAATTCAAGTGAGTGCAATATTATTCATAGCGATTGGCGAATTAATTTGTACCGGTAAGATCGTTACTGATATCGAAAATAAATTGATCAGATTCGTCCATTAAACATTCATTGCCTTACTTAATAGCATTTAATGATTTAAATTTATAATTCAAAATTATCAGTTAATTGACATACTTTAAGTCATGTTATTTTACAGCAAACGTTATTAAAACTTTAATATACATTTTAATCATGGAATAACTTAAGGGATTACTAGTTAAAATACCACAGACAATTATTTCTGTAGTAATTATCCATTTTTTCAACATCGTTTTAAAATAAAAAGTAAACTAAAAATAAAGTGACGTTTACGACCCGGCGTAGTGGGTAAGGTACCTGCCTTCTGCGTCAGAGGGTGTGGGTTCGATCCCCACTACTTTAATATATTGTGTGATGAACAAAGTGTTTTTCTAATGTCTGGGTGTTTATATATGTATAATATGTATTTATTTACAAAAGAAAAGTATGTTTATTAGTAATCTAAGTAAAAATGTATTCCAAAACATTTATTTATTATTATTTAAAGTCTGTACATGGGCAAAGGCCTCCTCTGTTCAAAGGTTATCAGGGAATAGACTTTAGAAATATTTCTTTTATTATTATTTCGAAAATTTGGAGGTTTCCTCACGATGTTTTCCTTCACCGCCGAGCACGTGATAATTCAGCACTCAAAATTAACACAAATTAAGCATTAAGCAGACTCGGCTGTTGCACGAATGGACGAAAAAAATAACATTATCATCGGTGCCAGCACCGGGGATCGAACTCATGTTGCTCGAGTATATTGAATTAAAGGCGAGCGCCCGGATACAGCTTTTACGGCTCACACTGAGCTATCACGCGTGCGTTTTTTATTATTTTCTTACTTATTAAACTATTTTCTTTATTATGTTTCTTTAGATATTCTTTATACGGATAAACATTTTGATCAAACTGTCAGATTTCCTATGTAAGGCAGCTACCCAAGAAAACTACGATGAAATTAATACGAGACTGACTGAACCAACTAACAGATACTGAAATGCAAAGGCGGATCCAGCTTTGGTGGCAGGTCACGTGATAACAAGTTATAATTTAATTTTTATAATCATAGATAGAAGTAAAAATTAGGTACTTATTTTTAACCGACTTCAAAAAGAAGGAGGTTATCAATTCGGATGTTTATATTTTTTTATGTGGCTATGTTCGGGCATACTTTCGTCATATATAGACGGATTTGCAAAATTCTGTTTTGCTCGTACATAGTGTTGATTTTTTATTATCATATGTTATACAGGTGGCTTTTATAAAGGTGTCCAAATGCAGGAGGTTCAAACTCGGTAATATAATCGTTTATTGAAATAAAAACAAACTTTTTTTTAAAAAAAATTTGGCATCCTATTTCCTAAAAACAACAACAAACTTGTTGACAATGCGGTAGTAATTTATAAATGCGTCTACTTTTGAAATGAACATGTTTGCGTGTTACTTATGAATGATCGCTAATATAAAATAAATGAGTTGCCCATAAATCACGCACTTTCTGAGATAAGTTCAAATGAATGTAATTAATTAATTACGAGTGATTTTAAAAATTTATCATTTTTATATAACTTTATTTATGTTTAGAATTTAATAAAAAAATGGATACACTAAGGAAATTCACCCTGTGTAGTATTTTTTTAAGTAGCTATTGGTAGGCTTACTTATTTTTGGAATTTCTTTTATTTATTTCTTCGTTACCAAATTATATTTAGTTGTATTGGTTATAATATTCTCTATTCCTCTACTCCGCCCGCTGGCTCCACTTCAATGACAAGTAGCCTAAGACGAGACTATCGGGACACGGGTTGATATTAATATATAATCACCCCAAAAACTCATAAAATAGCCGTACACAATAAAAAAAATTTCATAAATAACAAAAAAATATTTATTCAGTCATTCATTCATTCATAATATTCAGCGCTTCTAATCCATCTAATCAAAGACAGATTCATAACAAACGGAAAGAACAATCTTTATTTCCCAAAGATGGTCACGTCCACCAAACCACCACATCTCACCACCCATCAAAAACGGTCCACCCACTAAGACGAATCGAACTCGACGCAGTTATGTTACTTAATTACTGAGTTCCTATGGCCACATTCCAACTTTGTCATCAGACCCTGGTTACCATCTAGTACCAAAGAACTCGTCATGACGAATCAAAAGAGCCGAGACGCAATAGGGTTGCGTCGTTTCTTTACTGAATTCATATGACTATCTTCCAGCTCCATCATCAGATCAGACCCTGGTAACCATCTAAAAATTAAGAACTCGCCAAGACGAATCAAACGAGCCGAATCTCGATGGGGTCTGGTGAGTACCTCACTCAAGAGATGCATTTTGCTCCGGCTCTGGCTACCTAGCCGGAGCCCACTTTATTATAAGGAGAAAACGCATCTGCAACCCTATGCATGGACGGCTGAAGATGGAGCTCCATCATCATATCGTAGTTACATCAAACAACTATCTGTGGACAGCACACATAGTTGTCCCGTATGGGAATCGAACCCACGACCGCCGACGCCGAAGCCAAAATCTTGGCAACTGCGCCACGGAGTCATCAAAATATTGTAAAAATGTTCATAAAATGAAAACTACTTGGCCAAACTATGGTAAATTTTTATGGGACCAAATGCCAACTATTCTGCATCAAACTAAAGAAGAATCACAGAAATCGGATCAAATCTCAACGTAATCGGTGTACATACATCGAAAAAAATATACCAATCGAATTGAGAAACTCCTCCTTTTGAAGTCGGTTAAAAATATTATATTATTTTAATTAAATATTGAAGGTACTTACATAAAATCTATATATGGATGCAAAAAATATATAAAAACATTATGATTAACAATTTTTATTAGTGGTCCACCTAGGTCCTGGACCCGGCCCAGGGGGGAGGGGTCATGACCCCCATGACCCCCCCCTGGATCCGTCCTTGCTGAAATGACACATATAAAGTTAAGATTTTTCGCTCGTGAGTACATTGAATTAATTTCATAACTTAAC